AATTGGCTATTTGCATGCATCCTTGAAAAAATGCCTGTTGTTGCCCTTTGTTCATTTCTAAACTGGATGGTTTTGTTGTTGTTGGGTTTCTTGAGCTCTATACCAGTGCATACTTTGCAAACATTTTCTCCTATTCTCTCGTCTGCCTCTTCACTTTGGCAAGGATTTCCTTTGCCAAACAGAAGTCATTTAGCTTGATATAATCACACTTCTTTTTGTGCTAATTGCCTATGTTTCCCGGGTCTTTTACAGAAGTCTGTGCCAACATCTGTGTCTTAGAGTGTCCCCAGTATTCTCCTATAGTAATTTGCTGGTATTGGCTTGTAGATTTTGGTCCTTGATAATTTATATTTGACTTCTGTGTAGTGTGTAAGGTAGGATGTTTCATACTTCTGAACACACATATCTGATTTCCTCAGCACCATTTGTTGAAGAGACTGCCCTGTCTCCTTGGATTTATTTTGATTTGCTTCTCAAAATTTAGTTGCTTATAGATGTCTGCATTCATTTCTGGAATTTCTACTCTGCTTCATTCATCTTCATGTTTAATTTTATGTCAGTATCAAGCTTTTTTTTATTACTGTTGTGCTGTAGCATGTCTGAAGGTTAGTATTGTGATGTGTCCAGCTTTAAATGAAAGATTGCCGTAACTATTCAAGGCTTCTTGTGTTTCCATATCAATTTTGTCATTATTTTGGGATCTAGGAAGAATATTGTAAATATTTTGATTGGGATCACATTGAATATGTAAGATATTAATTCTACCTGTCCATGAACATGGAAGGTGATCCACATTTTGATCTTCAATTTATTTCTTTGATGTTTTCTCATTTTCGTCATAGAGATTCCTTAGATTCTTGGATAACTTTATTCAAAGATATTTGAAGGTTTTTATTGATTTGTTTATAGAATTTCTCAACCATGAAATTATTTGGGAATAGAAACATTATTGATTTTTGTGAGTTGATTATATATCCTGCAATTTTACCGAACTCAACAAATTTGAGGAGTATTTTAGTAGAATCTTTTGGTTCCCTCATATAGAGAATCATGTCATCTGCCAGCAGGGGCTTTTCCATTTTTTCATTCTGTGAATTATTCTTGCACTTTCTTAAAGTACCCTTTGATGCTTAAAACTTCAAAAAACTCAACCATTTTCATTAAGTTTTTAAAATTTATTTTGCCACTGTGTTCTTGCTATTGTGAGCCCAATCTAATGCTCTGAAATTTACTTCCATGTTTTCTTCTAAAAAAGTGTTCCAGCTTAGCATTTCCTTTTGAGTCTTCTTTCTATATGGATGATATGAAATTTGGGTAAAGGTTTATTCTTTGTGAATATTAATTGCTCAAAAGCTATTTCTTCAAAATATTATTTCCTCATTTTAATGTCTTCACACTCACATAAAAGATTGAAGTAGCTACTGATGTAAAAATTCTGATCTGTGGTCATGATTCAACTCTGTTGATCTGCGTGTGTATTCTAAGGCCAAGAAAACACTGCCTCGAAGCAGCTAGTCACAATAGAAAGATATCTACAGCTAGGAGTTTCCAGTTTTCTTCCTCCTTGATAATTTTCATATTTTAGTTTTTCGGAGGGTTGATTGTTGGGCCCTCGTCATAGATTTATTACATATGCCTTTAAATAAAGAAGTACAGTGGCGCACTAGCCCCCCCAGTTGGAAAGCTGGCCTTTCATCTTTCAAGATGATAGTAAAGACTTTGGAAAACAATTCGTTGCAAACATCCTTCTAATCACTGCAGTGACTCAGTTAGGGAAAACCATCTTCAGGTTTCCGAAAATATAATGTCCTAATAACGGGAATCTCTCAAATATAAACTTGTCATTCCCTATTGAAATTCTCCATAATATTATCTCAACTGTAACCACACTTTGTATCTTTTGTTGTAAAGAATTTAATTCAAAGATTTATTCTGCCATTTAATCATTTTGTTTTCATCAATCTTACATTTGTAGCAGCAGAATTATTTTTACAACTCATCAGAAAAGTGATGGTTTATAGACATCAAAATCCAATAACTTATTTCAGTAATGAATAAATCAATGATAGCTTGCTTAATATTTCTTAACATTTTGCCAACCACCTGTTATAAAATGATGCTACCTATTTTAAATAGAAAATACTTGGAAAATGTAGCAGCCAATTTCATGAAATGGTGCAAAGAAATTGTATAAATAATCCAAAATATCTTACCCAGCAGATGCCACACAATCCTTGCTGATAGCTGGCTTGGGTAGATAAGTCGGCAGACATCTGGGGGAGAGATGTCTTGATTCAAAATATGTTCTTTCTGTCCAAACAAGCCAGAAGGATATATGTCTCTCTATATATATACATATATAGACACTTATGACCCAGGACCTGTTTATGGCCTGAGAAAGCAGCAGAGGATGGCTCAATCCCTTGAGACCCTGCAACCACATGGGAGACCCGTAAGAAGCTCCTGTCTCCTGGCTTCGGATTGGCTCAGCTCTGGCCATTGTGACTGGGCAGTGAATCAGTACATGGAAGATCTCTTCCTCTCTTTCTTTGTCCTTTCAAATAAAAATAAAATAAAACTTTTTTTTTTGGAAGAAAGAGGGAGGTGGGGGAGTAGAAGGAAAAATCACAGAATTATGAGCTACACTGAATCTGTTAAAAACTAAAATAAATAAAGAAATTAGCCTTAGCTAGTAAACTACAATTTTAAAAGTTTTATTTGCTTATGTATTGCATACAGTTAGGAGAGAGATGAGAGTGATTGGGGCCTTCCATTAGCTGTTTCACTTCCCAGTGGCTGCCACAGCTAGGGCTGAGACAGGCTAAACCCAGGATCTAGGAGCCTATTCAGGGTCTTCCTTGTGGGCTCAAGGGATCAGGCCCTTTACCATCTCTGATGCTTTCCCAAGGTGTTGGAACTGAGCCAATCCGGTCAGGAGCCAGGAGCCTCTTCCAGGTCTCCCACACAGGTTTAGGGTCCCAAGGCTGCTTTCCCAGGTCATAAGCAGAGAGCTAGATGGGAAACGGGGCCACCAGAATTAGAACCAGCACCCATATGAGATCCTGGTGCATTCAAGGAGAGGACTTTAGCAGACAGGCTACCGTGCCAAGCCTTTGTTTTGTTTTGTTATTTTATTATTCCGTGTTACAATATTTCTAAGATGCATTTCTATGTTAAAATTACTATCAACAGACTCTGCAGTGTTTGAGTCTATAATAGGGGCACTTGAGAGTGTCTTCTCCAGAAGAGGACTCTGGACTGTAGGAAGGACAGGAGCAGGCATCGCTGCTGTGCTCGGCAGACACGGAGCTGGATGTGTGTTAGTACAGAAGTCCAGCTGCAGTGCTGCAGGGCGTCTTCCCTTCCCTGCCCTCAGCAAGCGCTCAGCTCTCATCAGTTACTTCCCAGCTGGCTTATGGCTCCTGCTTCTGAGCTCGCCATCAGGTTCCCCAGCATTTGACTTTTCATAATTTTCTCTCTCTCTCTCATACACACACACACACAAACACACACATACACACTTTAATCGACTTACAAATGTATTTGAAGCAAATATGGGAGAAAAAAGCGGGAGAGAAAGACAAAGAAAAAATCTTTTTGCAGGTTGTCTCCCCAAATGTCCACAACAGCAGAGTATGAAAGAGGCAGAAACCAGGAACTCAGGTCTCCAAGTGGGTGACAGGGACCTACCAACTCAAACTATCACTGCCCCCCTCCCAGGAACCTAGAATCCATAGCAATCTAACAACTCAAACGCAAACAGACCGATACGGGATGTGTGGTTCCAACGGACATCTGAACTCTTAAAGTTAACAGTTGCCTGCAGTTTCTGATTCTTTATCTGTACCCTTGACGGTTACCCTGAGAACAAATGTAGGACATACTTTTGGGAGACATGCCGCCTTCTAAAACTAAATGAGAGGTCCCTACAGCTTTTCTTGATTTCCACAGGAGTCTGCCACTTGGTCCTCCTGCCCCACTAGTAAAGCCCTGTATACATTCTCTCATTAACGGCTACAGCCCTTGCATCAGGCTTCTGACGGCGTCTCAGTTCCTGCCCACATGCCAGTCGCTGCCTGCCTGAAGCTTCGCCATCCACATCTCATTATGTCTTTCTGTAAGATGGTGCTCTAAATATCGTGATTTTGGATTTTACATTCCCCAGTGAATCATTCCTATACTATTCATAAGCAAACATCCCTAACACAGTGGAAAAATGACAAGCGATTAGGAATTTTTTCTTTACTGAGTTCAAATATAATAAACAAATTTAATTAGCTTAAGCATGATGCTATATTCAAACTCTATTTTCATCGAATGAGACTGAACATTGCTTAAGTTCTAATATCTACATATGACTACAATTTCCAAATGAAGCTTCTCTTTCCAAAAGTGGAGATTCAGGGTCCTTGGCAGTGGTTAAGAGAGAATGGGGGATCTTCTCATCTCCTACCACGGTGCCTGTTTTCAAAGCCCAGTCTTATTTCTGATTCCAGCTGCCTGCTAATATGCACCCTGGAAAGCAGCAGACTGTGCCCAATATTATGTTGGTTCCTGCCATGCGCATGGATGTACCGAAGCCAATTACAGTATCTTGGCAGTGATCCTGCCCCAGCCATTGCAGTCATTTGGAGAATGAAATGGTCAGAAAGGAGGTTCTCTGATCTCTCCCTCCATTCCCTACCTCCCACAAATCTGTCCACTCGCCTTTCTGCCTGAATCTGCTCCTGCTTTGTCAAACAAATAATTTTTAAGAGAAAAATGTGCATATTCACCATGCCTAACATATCTGTACCGGTGTCCTTCAAGCAGCAACTGAACTAAATAAAGCACTGAGCCTTTGCATAACCTCAAATTCATCTTTTTTTCCCCTTGGTGAAACAGTGAAGAGCTACTCCAGGCTATTGACAGTTATACAGGACATTGTTATTAACTGTAGTCACCATCCTGTTAAGGGAATCTCTCAAAGCTAATGGCAGCATATTCCATTCCGTTTTCAGCTTGGTGATTCCCTGAATCAGATCCATAAACTCCAGAAATCTCTGGATGAACAGAAAGAAACAAATGGAAACCTGGAGGTTGAAATCAAGCACTTACAAAACCGGTGAGCACTATTTAATATGACATGTTGAATTCAAAGTTAGCAACCCATTTTAGAAAAGCCTGCTGTCCTTTTTTTATTTCATATACTCTTTGTTTTTTAAATTTTTTCTTTCTTTTTGACAATCTTTACATAGTTGATTAGGGCACAAAGGATCAAGGGCTACAGGAAAGTGGATAAGACTATTGTTTCCACATGATTGCCTTTTTTTCCCTGTATCTGTGGTAAACGGGAGGTAAAGGGAGAAGCCCCACCCAGCCTCCCACCCATCCCAGGTCCCAGATGTGGGGCATCCTCCGAGGTCCTTTTCAGGTGGTTTTGATAATTCAACAGTTCTGAATTGATGCCAGTCTCGCCCTTCCAAGCACGATGAAATCATTGCAGAATCCACTGGCTGACACAACCCGCCTTAGAGTCTCCATTTGCCCAGATTTTCATTGTCAACCCATGGTTGGAGTAGTTGATTGATTTCACAGCCTTATTAAAGTATTATTTCTCCTAAAGGATGTTTCATGATATACTAAAGACAATTTAAATAGCATTTAAGAGCAATTTCATGTTTTCAGGGTACACAATTTTTGAAAAGCAAAAGCAGCTATCAGAACACATTTCATAAAGAAAAAAAAAAACCTGAAAGCACTTTTACCTGTAATGAAAAAAAAAAAAGCTGGAAAGCCATGGCTTAGTTTGTTTCTGTAATTGACCTTTTAATGTGTGCTTTTCATCTATGTGATGGTGGTATCTCATGTTATGTAAGACAGAAGTAGCAAAGTACTTCTTGTACTTTTGGATATAATTCTTGCGTTAGTCTTCGTGGCAACACAGAGAAGTCATACAGAATGTTTATATTAATTAGGAAACTGAAGGGGCGAGCTGAAATATCTACTCCAATTAACACAGATTTTCTCAGAAAACAAGTCACTGTGACTGAAGCTGAGGAAATTACAAGCATCTCTAAGAAACAAAAGGGAGATTTGTGTGATACAATCACAGAAAAGCTCATTGCCAGTGGAAAGTGATATCGGGGCATCGATCGGGCTCAAATACAGCTGCAATTTCCTTTAGTGGCAGGAGCAATGCAAAGTTTGACTACTTCTTTCAAGACTTTGAATACACACACGTACATACATGTATGTGCACACATATGTATCTCACTTCTTAAACTTTATGTTTTATGAACAAGAGACGGGACACACAGAGGGACAGACCCATGGGGACAGAAAGAAAGAATTCTTTCACCTGCTATTCACTTCCCAAATGCCACAAAACCAGGTCTGGATGAGGCCAAAGCCAGGAGCCACACCTCCAGCCATGCCTTTAATGTGGACAGCAGGGACTGCAGCGCTCGGATTTCTTGTATTTTCCAATTATGCCATGCTAATCTCGCAAATTCTCAAATATTCAATTACTTAAGAATGGCAGTTTATGTGGATGGGGTAAGATGGGGTTGTTCAATGAACATTCATTTTATGTTAGTAATGACTTAAAAAAGGTATGTACTTCAGTGACGTTTCTCTAGAATATTGGGAGGTAAAACATTGTTATATGTTGCTAAGCAACAACTATGTGAATGTGTAATGGCTGAAAACAACAATAATTTTTGATAACCATGGTTCTGTTGAGTTGGTTATGTTTAAATGCATGGTTCTTCTGTCTAATATAATATTAGCTGGAACCATTCTTCAGGCTCAATTCAGTGGGTAGAATGTCTGCATGCTGGGTTTTCCCCTTCATGTAATTAGTTTCTCATCATTCATCAAGAAAGCCTATACTATTTACATTGCAACTGATTTCCCAAGGATGGCAATTATTTTTAGCTTTACCCTCTGGACTCCTGCTTGCCTCTTTCGTCAGCATCCCCTTGGAACAAGTGACTGTGTCTGCTAATTAGTTCTCTTCTCAAACATCTGTTCTATAGAATTTTGGAGAACCAGAGGGTGATTCTTTCTCTAATCAAATGAATAGATATGCATATACAAATGTCTGGGTGGATGTATAGATATCAAAGTAGACAAAGAAGAAAGTCTTTAAAAATACCTTTCTGTGTTACACTAATCGGTTTCTCAATATGCACACTTTCAAGTACAACTATGATAACGGTTTGTATTGATCAACCTGAAGAAACCGATACTGTAATAAGTGTAAAGAGCATTCTATTACAAATCTCTATCACTTTCCAATATCTCGACAAAGTAATTTGCCCTTGCTTATTCTTATGTTGCAGTACTGTCTACATTCTTACATAGCCTTACAAGAGTGAACATGTTTTTAAGGTGGCACTTGGCAGCTGATTGTGAATCAGACTGCAGTGCAGACGCTTTGTCGACTAGTGTAGCTCTTACATGTGTGGTGCATGCAGTTTTTTCCAAAGAACAGTGGCCTGGCCTGACCCTGGATTATTCCCAGGAATAAAGGTATGACTGTGACTGGTGTGGGAAATGGGACCATCCTTCATGCTGTGGTGAACATGTGTCTTCACTTCCTGTGGCTGAGCCCCAGGTACTCCTCTTTACATGGAATGGAAGGCATGGGGAGGTCTTTTCTGATTTTAATACATGTTGGTGCTGCTATAGTGAGCTGGTTCTAAAGAACACATTTTTCTTCTCATTACGTATCGTGAAGTTAATATTGTTTTCTCAAGTCACCTCCAAAAGACTGGCTTCTATCCATTCAGATAAAGGATGCAACTTACATTTATTTATGGACGTAACTAATGTGGAGAAATCTGAATATTTCCTTAGGATGACTCTGCTAGTTACAAGCAAGCAATTCCCAGAGCTGTGTTAATCATCTTACTATCCACCATGCTCAACAGAAACCAAAAGTAGTAAACTCTGTAAGAACAATATGATTATTATGAACAATAAAGATATAAGAAATTGGATTTCTTTTTCCAATGTAATCATATTCTTACTTGGACCTGGAAAGCCCTGTTCACAAGAAGAACAGATCTCATACCTGAATGTGCTCTGTTGGGAAAGTAACGCCGAGCCTTAGCCATCACCGTTAGCATTGAGACATCCATGGAAGGCCACAAGGAACGCTTAGAAGAGATTTGTCTTCAGTGAACTTTTCAATAGCCACACTGAAGCTTTGGATAAAGAAACAAACATCAGATCTATCATTCCAAATTATTCTATTACAAAAGAAGTAATGACAAAATTGGTTCTGCTTGAAGATACTTTGCTAAGAAAACAGAAATGAAATGCTTTGGATCATAAATCCTAATATGGAACAATTTAAGTATAAATGTAATATGATGAAGGGTTTCATTTCCCACTGTGTGACCACATTGTTCCACATGCTTTGTGAGATAAAAACTGGTATTTCCTCTTTACATTTGGCCCATGTTTGTTTCAGTGTCACGTGTTCCTGTGTGGATTGGGAAAGACACTGAAGTTTATTGACCTCCTGGAATTAAAGAAGAGGGTTTGGAAACTATTATTATGGGTGTTAAAAATATAGCAAATCATCGAATCTCAGTCTATTCTCTCTCCTGCGAACTGGAGATAACATGATAGTCATAAGATTGCAGCCACAATTTTGTGTAGGCCAACTGTGCCATTTTGAAAAAAGATCACTGTGTCCCATGATTATTTTAATCAGTTGTATTTGTAGGCTAAGAATAACATTCACAATAATTAAAATATCTGTAAAATGATGTCTGAAACACTAAATACTAAATTTTATTTCTTCTTCCCATGATAATACCTTGGAATTGAGTTAAGCTTTGAAACGGGCCATGTGAGCCCGTGGACATTCTTGCCATTTCTTCAGAGGAGTAAAACTAAAAATTCAGCAGAGATAGGTACTTAGGGACACACTGCCACTTAGGAATCTGACATTCCATGTAAGTGTTTATGTTTAACTTCCAGATCTGCTTCCAGTTTCAACTTCCTTGAGTTCTCTGGGAATCAGCAGGTGGCCTCACAAGCAGTTAGGTCCCTGCTGACCACATGGAAGACCAGGGTTGAGCTTCAGGCTCTTGGGGCTTTGCTGGGTCATCAGGGTGGTTAGAGACAGAATCAATGAGTGGGAGTGTACATTTTCATCTCTACTCCCTCCTGAAGATGCAATAATATCAAAAGAAGTTTATCTATGAAATTAGATGCAGTCAAATACAAAATATTGAAAATTTGCATCAAATACAATGAAAGTAGAAGTTCACCAAAGAGAGCAGACATCAAAATGTAAAAGGAAGCTGTTAAGTGTTTTAAGAAAATGAGACTTTTTAGTCATCGGTGCTGGGAAAGCCTTTTAAAGCAAACGGAAGTCTCAGAAGCTGTGCATATGACACACTCAGCCTCATAAAAATGGGATGCACATTTCATTTTAATCAAAGGCTGTCTTGTAGAGGCAATGGTTCTCCCGGGGTGTGGTGCTTTCCTTGCCACTTCCCTCACGTCCTGGAGGGTGCATTTTTCCTGCTCCTCATTTCATGTTCATCTCGTAAGAGATGCTCAATTCAGATGTCACTCTTTGACTGTAGTCTCCGTAAGTTTTCGTCTTTCACATCGTAGTTTCTACTACATTTTTGTGAAATGCAGCTATGTAGTCACGTCCCTGTTGGTTATTTGCCAAACAGCCAGGCAGGGTTCATGTAGAATGCTTTATCTTGCACCCATTTTGTTTCCGTTGAACTTAATCATCCCTGATTGTTACTTGCATTGTTTTCTGGGTATCCATCTCTGTTCCATCTTTCTTCAGATTTCTTTTATTATTCAATAAATTAATGTCAAATGGCTGCTCAATTCTGATAAAGCAATTGGAAGTACTCTCACATTAGCTCATCTCAATCTCCTTGGATTTTCACTGCCAAAACTTCTAAATCACTCCTCTTTACCTTCGTGTTGAAGAGCTCGTTTGTTAAAGTATGCCAGCAGTGTTTGTTAACATACATGCAATGAATATTTCTCCATCTTAGCTCTTTCTTCTCCCCTGTCTCTATATGTCATATTGTCTCTATGAATTATGAATGCAGGATCATTTTTTACTTCTTTGAA